TGTGTGTGTGTGTGTGTGTGTGTGTGTGTACCTCTACTTGAATGTCTGTGTCTGCACATATTTAAGTTCAAGTGAAGAATAAAACAACTATGAAAAAAAGGAGGTCAAAGAATGATTTTTAGATGATGGTTTGCAGTAACATGACAGAAGTTATATCACAGATCTCATTTTGAAGGGCGGCCTGGGCCTCAAGGCAGCCTAAACATGCATGAGTTTTGGACAGTAAAAAAACAAAGCGCCCAGAGAAAGCCCATACAAACATGAGAGAAACATGCAAACTCCACACAGACTGAGTCCAGGCCCAAATCAGGGTTTGGACTCAGGATCTTCTTGCYATGAGGTAAAAGTCCCAACCAGTGAGCTGTTGGGCTGTTATTTAGGAACAGGAAAAACAAACCTGTTTTGTTTTTTGTTTTTTACAATAGCAATGTGCATATACGAATAAAACCTGAGATTGACTGAGGCAACTAAACGATGCCCCAGAGACATTGAAAAATAGGAAAGCGCTTAAAAATCTAAAATGGTGTGGAGGCAAATTTTAACAAAAACAACTCTTCAACAACTACCGTACTTTAAAAATAAACATTTAAAAAAATCCAAAAGGTAGCTCAGGCAGGAATTAAAATGATTACACTATCTGATTCATCATTGCGTAGTTAGAGTTCAAAATCAACGCATTTTAAGATTTGTGAAATTAAAAATAATTTATTCACAGTCAGTAAAGGCCCCCACGGCAATATTACATTATTTACGTTAGTTATTACGATATTAAATTTACAAAAAATAAAATTAAATAAAAACAAAAACATCAAATTATAATTCACTGTTATGAGATTAAAAATATCTTGTAGTAAAATATTTTTAAATAAATGTGGTAATAAGGTCAACAATATTTGTCAATTTACCCTACATGATGATGGTTCAATGGCTTGTTGCAAACTTTATGGGTTTTGTTTACTTATTTTTAGTTGGTATTGGTAGTTTGACTATTTTACAATCACACATACAATTTTAATTTTGCATGAGAAAAATCATTAAGACATCTGTTTAAGTTGTATTGAACGTTTTTTTATCCTCTTGATGTTTTTGCTTGAAATAACATACTGAAATGTAATTGAGTGTATCTCAGCATTTACAAACTCTACTTAAATAATATTAATATTAAAATAAACACCTTGTGTCAGAATCAAAGCAGCAGTGAGGATGGAACAGTAATTATTTTGGATTTTTTTCCCCTCATGCCTGAATATTTTTTTTCCATTAGGTAACCTATTTAAAACCATAATGAAGACAGTTAAAAACTCTTGGAAACCACAAATTCACATGTGGACATGACCTGTGCAAAGACTCATGCTGATGAAATAAACTAGAACAAAGGTAAAGAGGTTTTAGTAAAGAAATAATTTGGTGTTTTGTCATTCTGCACAGAACAGACCATGTCAGTCCCATAAATAAATGTTAAAAAATCTTAAGTTTTTCATTGCAAAAGTTATTTCGTTTTTCTTACCTGCCTGACAAGATTTGTTTTTGAATATTTCGTATTTTGAAAAAATATCCAAACATTTATTTGTGACTATATTTATAAAACATTGAGAAATGATATTTGACCTCAGCTGGACCATATTCACTCAACATCAAGTCAAAAGAACTTTCAACACAACTTACAACATATGTGGGTATTTGCTTTGACTTACTTTTAGAAAATGTTTTTTTACAGATTTGCTTGAATGTATTTACWGATTTGCAATGACGCYATTTTGTACAATTTGTTTACTTTCTGATTCAACTGCTTGGCATTTAAACTGTTTAATGGATGTAAAATGTTTTCTATAAGCTTTTAGCCAAGATTATGATGTTTCTGTTAATACCAAACATGTTCATGTTCATCTGACACCTCTCAAGTCAACCAAAGTTAAAAGAAATAGAAAACAGGAACTGCTGCTTTGCCCCTGTTATTGAGGGGGTTTATGTATTGTTCGCATAGGTATCTGGCCTACATTGGAATAAAGCTATGCATTTGTAAGGATTTTGTTTGATTCTATCATTTCTTCCTAAAAACATAAAGAAACACTCTAAGGTAGACTTGGGCATTCGTCAACGAAAGGAACAACAACTGGGAGTGATTTGTTCATGGAGGTAAATGCATGTTTTGACATGTTGGGATGGAAATGGGACAAGCTGGCAGGTGTGACAACAGATGGTTGTCCAAATCTGATGGGGGAAACTGTTGGACTTTTGAAGATAATGCAGGATAGTGTGACAGAAATGAACCCTGAAGAGAAATGTTTTGTATCAGGCAGTGTTGTGTAAGTCAGTGTTTAAAAAAACAAAACATGTTGTTGATGTCGTAACGTAAATAGGTAACTTTATTGGGGCACGAGCATTGAATCACAGACGGTTTGTTGCACCTTTGGAGGAAAATGAGACTAAACAGTGATGTAAGCTACGACAGAGCTGTCAGGTGGCTCAGCCTGGGCAAAGTGCTGAAAATGTTTTGGACCTGAGAACGGAGATTCACCAGTTCTGCATTATGAAAGGAAATCACCTCCACAGGTGTAGGCGCTGCATGGAGAGTTTTCAAGGCGATTTCAGGGAGAGTGACAGGCAGATGATTTTTTCTCCCTTCACCTCATTGACCTGCAGTCTGACACACTCGTGGCAGACAACTTTAGGTCACTGCTTGAGTTTTACTCTGCCCTCAAAGAGGAAAACTTTCAAACATGAAGAGGCATGCTACGAAGGTCCTGGTCCTCTTTGGATCTACCTGTGAACAGACATTCTCAGTGATGTTCAACAAATCCAGATCCAGTTCCTCTGTCACTGACGATCATCTCTTTGTTCTTCACATCATCACCTCAGACTTTCAGACACATGTTGATGAACTTGTTAAAGCCCGAGACAAACTGATTTTTCTCACTGAATAACTAAAATGAACTGACACTTATTGCTTTTGGTGTCACGTTGATACCATGTTACAAAACATTGTTCATATTTGTTTGTGAAGATTGACATGTTAAAAATAAAATGAAACAATGTTAGGATTGTTTTTCTTTTTAATGTAAATATATAAGAATAGTTTTCTTTTATCACCTACATCACAATTTCATATTTTTATATAAATATATATTGATTTAAAAATTGATTTAATCCATCTTGGATCACTTTCACTTAAATTTTGCAATATCAATTCATAGAACATGAGATTAATTATTCCCCATGACGTTAACCTCAGTAGTCTCGTGCGTGATGAAGCAGAGGCACATTTTTGTGTCACTCCTGGCTTGCCGTACATTTACGTCCGGTTGACCTTCATCAATAACGTTAGCATCTGACAACAAGTCATCTGGGGCAAAACAAAAGAAACTAAGGACTCGCTAACGTTATCAGCTGATTCTCAGCTGTACATAATGATAACAGAGACCATGGCAACTTTTGTTTGCAAGCATTTACACCTGCACTCAGTGGTGGGAAATGACAGCTTCAAGCAGTTGGTTCAGGTGCTCAAACCAAATCACAGTATGTAAGCATCTGACTGAAACTATTATCCTGGGATGTATAAATGCGTGAAAGATGACATTCTAACAAAATCCTTTCGTTACCACCATTAAAATATTTAAAGTTTAATAAACGTGTCAATGAAATTCACAGTGTTGTAGTTTGAGTATCTTTTTTTTTCTTTCATTGTTTTTTTTTAATCATTTTTATTGAACGTAACAACAGAAGGTAACAGAAACATTACAAATGTACAATATTCATGCCCCCAAAATGAGTGGGCAGAAGTATACTTATATTAGCCCACCTTTCTCCAGTGATCTTATTCCCATCACTTATTCATCAAGATGAATGGTCTTAATTTCTTACAAATTAATGTATCCAACAACACTGTCACCTGCAATTCCTTTTTAATTTAAAACCTTTGTAACTTGAGATAGTTTTGTTTGTAGTTCAAGTTTAAACTGTTCAATTTACAAGTTTGCCCTTAAACCTTGTTGTTTATAGCGAAGAGACTAGTACAGAGAATCAATTCAGAACCTTATGAATCGAAATCGAATTGATTTAGGGAATTGGCCACGATACCAGTCCTATTATAAAAACAAAACTGTGAAGGAAACAAACTTGAAGCAGTTGAGGATATCAGGGATTTATTGCCATCTAATCCAGATGAACAACTGACAGCAGCAATTTAGTTGATAATGTCTGAAAGATGGAGAGGCATCTGGTTGGGCTGCTTACTTCTATCTGAGGCCACTTGTCATATCTAATATAACATGTTGTCAAAAGTATCAATTTGGTTGGGGAGGAGAGAAAAAGCAAGTCTGTTTCTATCTTAGCAGCTCGCTTGACAGATTGAGAGGTGTTTAACGTCTCATTTTGGGCTTGTCAGTGTTGAGGAGAGGACGGGGGGGCGCTTCACAACTTCATTTCCTCATCACACAAACACACACACTGACAGCAGGGCTCTGTGTGTGATAGACAGGGCCAAGCAAGAGACATAACACATTCACAGAAACACGCATCACATACACAGACAGAAATGGTACAAGAAACATCATTCATCCCTAATTCAAGAGGAAGAGCAAAAAAGTAAGATGAAGGAGAGTTCAAGATAAAGTTTGACAGAAAAAAGGATGATAGTGAGAGAGTGAGGCAGACATCAAACAGCCATTTAACTCATTAGGGAAATCTCAACTTATATTTATTTTTATATTTAAAAGCTGGGAGTTTAGGCTCTATGAAGTTTGTTGGACTCATTCTTCAAAATCATGAAAGACTTCATGAATAGATATAATCATGAATTAACCTTGTCAGTCATTTTTGAGAAATTACTTCAAAATAGGCTCTTTCTTTAGTGTTACAAAAGTGTTACAAATGAAACTTAAAGACATAGATAAACTCTTTAGTTGTCCGTTAAAAGCCAATAAAAGTCTCTCAAAATAAAACTTGCATTAGGATCCAGACTAGGATTTATGAACTAAGGCAGATGGATGTGTTTGATTTACCTTTCTTTATGCTGTCCAACCCCATGTTTTCCCAGCAGGTGGATATTCAGGTGTTTCTTCATCACAAAGGCCCATCTAGAAAACAGCAAAAATAGCAGAGTTACCAAAAGGAACAACAGCAAACCTTGGTATGCTGATCAATGGGAGATACAAGAGTGAATGGCTTGAACAGAATAAGTTATGGCTCATCCAGGCCAATGCTGTAACCTTAAAAACAAGATTCCCATCACATTCTTACTAATCCATATGGAAAAAAAAGTATATTTACATTTTCCACTTCCACTTCTTGCAGACCCTTTGGCTCCTACCATTCTTTTAATTGCTGGACTCTTAATCAGTATTTCCACACCTTGATTTGGGTCCATTGTGGTAAATTACATTTTTAGAACATATTTGAAAAGGAACAAAAATTTTGATAGGAGGGTCTTCTAGCTGCATATCAGAGCAAGCATCAAGTCATGAGGTCAAAGGGACTGCTAGTTGAGCTCAGAGAAAGGATTATTGGAAGGAGCAGATTTGGACAGAGATACATTTTTGTTTATTTATTCAGGTCTCACAGGAAGTTCCTAAGAGATAAGTGGTTTCCATAAGTTTTAAATGGAAGATAGTCAGCTCAGTTAGAAGTCTTTCATGGTCACCAGGCAATATTGAGCAACTGAGAAAGAAATATCTTAATGAGACCAAGAACCCATTGGTCACTCTGACTGTATGTTCCTAAAGGAAAGATGCAGACAATTCTTGAGTTGGGCTTTATGATAGAGTGGCTTGATGGATGCTTCTACTCTAAGAAAAACATTAAAAAAGCTGCTTGAATGACTCTCGGACTGAAGAACAAGAATCTTTGGTTTGATAACCCAGAGACTGAACAGTTTGGACTCAATTCTAATCATTATGCCTGGAGAAAACCAGGTACTGTAAACCATTTCCCGACATCTTTCTGTGGCTTCAGCATGATGCTGTGGGGGTGTTTTTCAGCTGCAAAGACAGGGAAATCCTGAACAAAGCAAAACAGTTTCACAGAAGTCAGAGACTCAAACTGGGCCACCTTCTGAAAGGACAACGACACAAAGACAAGACTAGAGTGGCTTACAAAAAACTCTGAATGTTCCAGAGTCCTGACTTGAGCCTACTAAACGTCTCAAAAATGGCTGGAAATGGCATCCACTGATTGTCCTTTTTCAGACTGACTGAGTTTGAGAGGAACTGCAAAGAATGGCAGAAAGTCTCTCACTAGAAGTAAATGGCTTAAACTTATATAGCACTTCATAAAGTGAAAGGATTCCAAAGCGCTTTAAACTACAGTCATTCACACGCTAATGGTGGTAAGCTACACTGTAGCCACAACTGCCCTGGAGCATGCTGACAGAGGTGCAAAATAAAACTTAAGGCTGTAATTTATGCCAAGGATGCTTCAACTTGACAAGTCTAATGTTATACAATATTTACAATATTTCTGTATTGTATATCTCAGTTATCTCTTCCACATTCCACAAACTAAATTAAGGACCATGGGAGCTTGGGCATTCTGTGCAGTTGCCCCATACCTTTGGAACTCCCTCCCCGACTATCTGAGAGCTCCACAATCATTGGTTGACTTTAAAAAAGACCTAAAGATTTTTCTTTTTAAAGAAGCCTATTCTGTCTTTGTGTGATGTTATCACAGATTTTAGATACTTTTAAGAGAGTTTAAAAGTTGAGCTTTGATTGTTATTTTTATTAGTGTATTTTTGTTCTTTTGTTTTTGATTTTACTACTTTTATCTATCGCAATTTAATGTTTCGCAGCACTTTGAGATTGTGCGTTAAAGTTAAATTCATTATTATTATTATTATTATTATTATTATTATTATTATTATTATTATCAAAATTTACAAAATTGCATGAAATACTGTTCTCACTTTGTCAATGTAGAGTATTAAATATAAATTAGTGGGGAAAAATACTTTAAATAAATGAAGCATCAAGCTAAACCCAAACCCTCAAAAAGTGTAAAGGGTCTGAATAGTTTCTGAAGTTATTGCATTGTTGTCATGAAAAGGTTAAAGAGTTAGTATCAACTGTAATTTAACCTAAGTTACCTGACAACCCTCATTTGGMTGAAACCTTGAACCATAAGAAAAGAAAAGAAAAATAATGTATTGCCACCTTTTTAGTTAAACATCAGGAAAACTGAACCACGTATGATACAGTATCACACTATGTGCGCATGTGAAATAACTTAAACGCACATGTCTCTACCGTACATGCAATGGCACGCATGCAGTCAAAAACAACAGGGCACCATTGCTCCACTGTGACCACAACATCCTGACTTTATCAAGAGTTTCCCATGTCTCTAAAACAGTTTATGAAAACATAATGAACAGATGACAGGACTAACTACTCTAACATCCAAGCAGTTTTACCAGTTTTCTCATCTTCTGGCCTTTTTATTTAGCACCCATCACTTCCCATTACTGTGCAACTGAGAGGCAATGACCACATCTGGGAGCCGAGGATGGAGCAACATGAAAGCCGGTAAGGATTTGAACCAACAGGCATGCAGTTGGTACTATTGCTCAACAAACTCAGTCCCTGCTCTCTGCTGCCCCTCACTTTTCTTCTGGATGATTTTAAGTTTTAACTTCCTCCAAGTCAACCGTTACTCTTTTGTTTTCTTTGGCAAAGCCATGTAAGCCTTTTAAAGCCTTCATTTTTACTCAGTAGTCACTGTTTTGTGAAGCAAAAGCATAATTATTGCACCACTTATGAATTTATGTCTTTATATCAATACCCATTTTGACGTTTGGACACACATGCTCACTTACTCCATCTCATTATAGCCCTATTGCATCCATCATCGAGGCCCCCTGTGGTCATCTATAACTAACACCATCATACAAATATTCAAACATATTCCACTGTTTTGCCTCATTATCATCACTCCAGATTTTTCCAGTCTTCTATAACTCAATCCATCCACCCATCCAGAATGCTGCCTTGGAGTTAAACTGCAAGCATGAATGCAATTAAATGTCATAAATTCCAGTCAGGGAATAACAAGCAAGATCAGAATGCTGAGCTTTTTTTGGCCTACTAAATGTGCATTTGACAAACACCGTCATCTATAAAYAAACAAACAGCATAATTAAGATATTTCTGATAGGATGGAAAGGGGGCATCAAAGACTTAATCAATATATTTGAGAAAAAAACACTCCGTGCAAGCTTGTTTAAGTTGCTGTGTTTAGACTTGAAGAAAAGAAGAGCTTGCAAACATTTCTGTTAATTATGTATTACAGCTGTCCTTCATAAACCTAATTAGAGTGCTGAAAGGCAATGGAGCAATTTGCATATGCGCATGAAAGACAAGACATATGCAAAATATGATTTTAATTAGCATTCTTTGATAGCAAGGGGTACAAATCAAACTGGCATGTTGTGAGATTTTCATCTCACCCTTTTTTACTGGATTATTCTCAGAGTGGCACCAGTGCAAGATGGGTAATGCCCTATGGAGGCACCTGGCACAGGCTACATTTATACATACACACACACGCACAACACAGTAATGCGTTTTATTATTCACAGACATGCATAATATTACCATGCACAACCCTAAATAACCGTGCATAAATGGAAAAAAATAAAAAACCTACTATGCACGCTAACGCTGATAACACAATGACAATTAGTTCTTCACTATGTGATTATCAAAAGCACTTAAGGCAGCATACACACAAATACACACAAATACTGATAGAAATGCAGACAAATGGTTATACTTCCTCACACAAAAACATTCCCACAAGTATCCATTCTCTCATGCAAACACACAAACACACACATAAACACACACTATCTAACACAAAGAAAGATCCCATATCTAAATATTAAGGAGCCAAATCCATTTGTTTAAGGCAGTGTGTAATCAGCCCCCTGCCCACGGTGTGTGCATCTTCTGCCATCCAGGTCAAGGCCTCAGCTTGTCGTGTTGCTGCCTTGGGCTGCATCATCAGCCCAAACGATCAGCCTTGATGGTTATTGTAACAAAGGGATACTTTAACATGCCATTCATCCATATCAATTCTCTTCCCCCTCATGAATTGAACTAATAAGGCTGTGCCTCTGCCCTCCAGGGATGCTTATAATATCCATTGCAGGAAAAAAAGAGAGGAAAAAAAAGAAAAGAAAAGACAGAGGCTCTGGCGTTTCACATTCGACTTTCCCCTCAGACTAATCGGCGCGCCACAGCTCGTTAGGTCCGTGACGTGCCAGAGCTTTACCGATAAGCAGGGGAGACACGGCTCAATTACCCACAGTTACAATCCTTCTCTTTTTTCCCCCTCCTGTCGCCTGACGATGAAGAGATAACATGTCAATATTTGATACAAACAACTTCATTTGCCTAATGGCATTCCTGGATAGGCCTGTCTACAGGTCTAAAAAGGGTGGAAGATCTAAGAAAAGGCCTTAAGCAAGAGTTAGATAGCTAAACCAAAACACCAAACTTATATAATGCATGCCTACTCTCTTGTGCTGTGCAAAAGGAAGGTCAAACATACCTTGTCAACCATTTTAAAAGGTACTATCTGATGTTTTTTTTTTTTTTCATTATGGCGGTTTGTTTTGGCCTAACTCAAGAATCAGTAATTAATACTTTAAAAAGGTATTGTGTGTGAGGGAGTTGGCGTCGAACAATGGAATGACATGGCCAGGAGACTTTCAGCACTATAGAGCAGTGTTTCCCAAAGTTGGGGTCGGGACCCAAAGTGGGGTCCCGAAACATCAAGGTGGGGT